CTGTGAAGATTAGTAATGTGTATTCTTTTTGCAAATACATTGTTCTAGGAGTTAAAAATTAGAACCAGTTTACATTATGATGACCATAGACATATTTCCCAATGCAGAAAAACAATCAGTATCCTATTTCTTTTCTTGTACTTTTAAAAAATTTATTCTAGAGTTTAATTGTCTTATTGGTTATTTTCTTTTTAAGAAAAATACCTTCATTTGTTGGGGCTGAGGTTGTGGCTCAGTGGCAGAGCACTTGCCTTGCACATGTGAGGCATTGGGTTTGAACCTCAGCACTACATAAAAATAAATAAACAAAATAAAGGTATTTTTAAAAACCTTCATTTGTAAATGAGATTTTTTATACCATTGAAGGTTTTTCTTTTCTTTTTTATATATATTTCACAAAAAAACACAATTAAACTTGTACTTTGGATTATAATGATCATCACATTCCATCATCATTAATAACCCCATGCCTTAATAATGCCCCATCCCTTTCCCTCCAACCCCTGTGCCCTATCTAGAGATCTTCTATTCCTCCCATGCTCCCACTTCCTAGCCCACCATGAATCATCCTCCTTATATCAGAGAAAACATTAGACATTTGTTTTGGGGGGGATTAGTTAACTTCACTTATTAATGATGGTGGAATGTGATGATCATTATTATCCAAAGTACAGGTATGAAGACACAAATTGGTGTGAATACTATGTATACAACCAGAGATATGAAAAATTGTTCTCTGTATGTGTAATAAGAATTGTAATGCATTCCACTGTCATATATWAAAAAATGGAAAAAAAAAACTTTAAAAATAACCTATTACGTAAAAAAAAAAAAGAAAATTAGAGGGTTTAGGGTTTTTTGTTTGGTTGGTTGGTTGGTTTTAAAAGTTAGTGTATAGTTGATACACAGTGGTAAAGTTAAAAATTCATAAATTTAGTTCTGCCTTAGGTTTTTGAGTTAATGATATAAATCATAATTTCTATTTACAAATCTAGCATATTTGAGCAATTATTTTTAAAATCACTTTTGAAAAATGCTTGTTACATTTATAAATTTAGCTAATTAGACTCTTAAATATTTGAATTACATTTATAAATTTAATATTAAATATCAATTTTCTACCCTAAAACAAAATATCAACTACCAAGTAATTTTTATCTTAAAAATGATTAGTCTAATTCAATTACTCAATTATAAATATCAAGTTAGTGTCACAAGACTATTGCTCTAACAAGAAGATAGAATTCTAAGTTTGCATAAGTTCCTTAACGCAGTGGGGCGGGGGGAAGTGCTCTGGGGTTTGATTCTTTTCTGATACTTTTCCACAAAAGATAACAATTATCATTACAGGTAAGACTACTTTTAAGCAGTTCTCTACCTAATTATTTTTGTTCCCATGGTTAAACAATACTTATTTCCTAAGGAAACAATTTTTTGGTTAACGGAGGCTGCTTTAAACCAAACATTTTAACTGGGCAAGGAAAACAATGTTACAGACATCCACAGTAAATATTATCACTACTCACTTAAAAACTCTCATGTCATCTCAATGGACTTTGTAGATTGTCTTATTAAATGCTCAGATTTTGGCTGGGATACCACGGATTCTGGTTGGGGACATTGATATGAAGCACTGAACATATTTATACCATCAGAGAAAGCAGGCAGCTCATATATATGTATCCAAGTTAAATATACTAATTCCTCAGTTGATGCATACAAACCTACAACCTCATTCAAATTGATTACTTGTTTGGATACTGCTTTTCTTTGGCCTGTACAGTACGGAAATGTCTTGTGTGAGTGAAAAGATTTTTAAACTTAATGGAAGCCTATATTCTTTTTATGCACATCATATTATAGGACTTAGGATCTCTTAAGGATAGGTCCAGTTGAATTCTGGGTATTTTCTCTATATGATCACAGTTGCCAAGTCTACTTACTGACTTTCAAAGTTTTCCACTATCTCCATCTAATGTCTATCTAATCTTAAGGATTCCCCCACCCTCAGAAACACATTTCCTAATTCCCTTCATCTTTCCATTGCTGTCTACATTTTCATTCCCTGCACTAATACAATGAATGTCATCCTGGGATTTCCTTTTACTGATTTTCTTATTTGGTACATTTTTTTTCTTGAATCTCACCTCTTCCCCCTTGGTTTACTTCATTTTTCTCAAGTATATCCTCAAGTGACTTCCTAAGAAATGATATATGGAAAATAAATTTCCTATTTTACTTACATGCATTTACATGTATATATTTACAAGTATTTATTCTGGTCTTACTCTTCATTGATATTTGGGTGAAAAGCATTTTTCCCACAGGATTTCAATATGCTATCTTTAGTATTTAGTGCTTTTGATAAAAAGTCTAATTTTTTCTAGTTTGTGTTTTTTTTATTTTATTTATTTTTGTGCATGTAATTGTTTCTTTCCATGCTGGAAACAATTCAATTTTCATTTCTGGACAATTTAATTATCTCCCACTTATCTTAAATATTATATTTGTATCACAGATATTTAGAATGTCTTTAGACTCAAGGACTCTCTGAACCTGGAGACTTGTGTCTTTCATTTCTGGTAAGTTTTTTGTTTTTATTTTTGGTTTATTTGTTTGTTTCATTTTGTTTAGATTTTCTGTTTGGTAGTGTTTCCCTTCTGTGTTCTATTTTTTTTTTCCTGGAAGTTCTCTTTAGTCCAATATTAGAACCATGTTCCTGGTTCTTTATTCTACCTATGTTTTCTGTTTATTTTCTATAAGTTACCATTTCATTGCACCTTCTGGAATACATTTTCCACATTATCTTTCATTTCTTTTATTGAATGTGTTTTAATTTTTTCAACCTCTCCCATTAATTATTTTAAATATTTATTTTTTAGTTTTAGGTGGACACATATCTTTATTTTATTTTTATGTGGTGCTGGGGATGGAACCCAATGCCTCATGCATGCTAGGTGAGTGCTCTACCACTGAGCCCCAGCCCCAGCCCCAGCAACCTCTTCTATTAATTTTTAAGAGCTACTTTCTAACTAATTATGCATTTTTCTTACCTGATGTTCTTTGTTTTGAGTACAGTAACTTTTTGAATCTCTCTATGGGTACTATCCACCATTGAATTGTTTTGTTCATGTTTGTTTGTCTTAATTTCTTTCCTTCCTTTGAAGGCTTTTCTCCCGTTTCTGATTCTCCTTGGTTATCTATTCATATTTCAATGCCAGTTTCTAAATGCTAATTTCCAATGATGATCTAGATGGGCTTTGTCACATGGTCATCTTCTTATTAGAGTAGTGGATTATGGACTCTCACTGCAATTTAGAATCAGCTGGAGAGCTTTTAAAAAATACAGAATGCTGGTTCTGCTTCCGGGAACTCTAGTTTAATTGGTCTGAGGCAGGACCAGGCATTACTTTTCTATAAATTTTCTATAAATTCTATAAAGTAGTTTTCCAAAAATTTCTAATCCGCAGAGGGTTTCAGAGCCATTGCTTTAAGAGCATGAAAAGTGAAGGTTTGGGATTTTTAGCGGGGCGGGGGGTGGGTCTTTTAATTTCCTGAAGAAGGATCCTTATATGTTTTGCTTAGACCATAAATACTGATGTTGAACATTTGGCATGGCAGTATGGGGGACACTGACCATATTGCACACACTTAATTAATTTTCCATTTTCAACCCCCACTTTATGCTCACTGTTAGTCACACCTGACTTTTCCAAATTCCCAATTTCCCTGTGACTCTGGTCTGCAAAGTTGACCAGCTTATTTTCAGTTCAATCCATCCTCAATATACTCTAGCTTGTGGCCTTACCCCATCTTGCTTCCTGACTGCCTTCAAAATTTGTATGGGTAAACTGGTCCTGGAAGAAAGGAAAATGAACCTGTAAAATCCTTTAGAGGTTCCTTTAGTCATTTAACAGAAGAAACTAGTGATTATTTTACAAAAACTTAGTATAGTGGAAGGAAAGTCAAGATTAGAAATGGCTGGAAAGGTAACTTATTCTGTATAATGAAGGAAGAAGGATTCAATGGAATAGAATTCAATCCTAAGCAATAGAGAGTGAAGATTTAAAGAAGATACAGGAAGGCCTATAATAATTCAGGAGGGAATCCATAGAACTTTCAAAGACAAGAATTTTAATTTTATTGCTCGTATGTAAATATTCTGTCTCTCCACACAAGTGCCTTTGACAATGTAGGTTTTTTTCCTATCTTTTCATGGAAGTCAAAGAAGCATAAATAGAACTTGAATGAATATTCATCTGTGTTGATATCTGGCAGAGAAAAACGAATTTGAAGCATGGACTACTAAACCATAACAAGGAAAATATCAAGCCCCTTCTTGGGTAGTACCAGGAGCAACACCACCATTATGAAGGTGTGAGTCAATTTTGCCAAACTCCTAAAAACAGGCTTCTTCTGCAGATGCTAATATTTACATCTGTGCAACACTTTTCTTAAAATATAATCATAGCCCTTTATAAGGGACTACAAAGATGATAAAGAAGGTGGTTTTATAATAATCACCAAATCCTGGGAAGTTAGAACTTAATGCTACCTTTGTAACCTTTATTTCATTGCTTCTGCTTATACAACCAGGAACAAATCAAGTGGACTCTGAGGCTAGACCTTAAGACCCATTAGCTCTGTTGCCATTAGTCATGTTCCACGAAGAAAACAAGAACACATGCCCTTGACTTAAAACCCTGAGCATGAAGTTGAAGGTGAAGAGATGAGAATTTGATGAGGAAAAGAAAAAAAAAGATTGAAGTCATTATGCAAGTAGACATTCGTGCTTTACCAAGTACAGAGTCAGTACTTACTAACAAGGAAGGCAGTAAATACAGCTCATTGTCTTAAATGGCCTAAGATTATTTATATCTATTCTTTCCAATTTTCTGGCTGAGCAGCATGTGCTTAAAAATCAAAGGAGGTTTGGCAGCAGCCACTGCACAGACCCAATCCCATAGGCTTCCTGGCCTTGCTCCACTTTCTCTGCAACCATGTCTGACGAAGCTGACGTGGCTGAGATTGAGAGATTCAATAAGCAGAATTTGAAGAGGGTGGAGATACAAAAGAAGAATCCACTGCCTTCAAAAGAAACAACTGAACTAGAGAGGCAAACAGATGAATCATCACGAGGCATGCATGCCAAAATGCATTGTACGTTCCTCAATCATCACCTTCTTGTTTTACTTCTTTGGGTTATTTAACACTGTAAGATGCAAAGAGGTTGGATCAGGTTTAAATGACTGTGCTGCCTCCTTTTTGCCTGAAAGGACTGAGAACAGCTGACAGTGGAGGCCTCCTCTGTCTGCCTCCTCCATCTGCCTGTGTGGCTGGCTGGGGAAGAAAAGTACTCACACATTGGTGAAGGAAGAAGTTGGGTGGGATAACAGTGAACTAGGGTCAAAACTAAGCTGGTCCCCCATATCTTCTTGAAGGATATAAAACATAGCTTTAAAAGAGTGTCATCTTGTTGTTGTTCAAATTATCTTAATTATTTAGAATGAATTGACCTAGCTTCACATACATATATTATCATTTAATGTCACAGCCCTCCTTGAAAAGGAAAATTGGTATTGATGCAAAGACATATCTTTATTAATATAATGAGGCTTTGCTGTAGTTCTGGAGTCAGGGAAGATAATTTATTATAAAGCATAAATCGATCTGAAATGGATGATATGTCTGTATATCTCAAAGTTCACCCTTGTAAACTTTGGTTAAGTTGACCTCTCAAAGTCTTGGCTGCCTTGTTGAAAAATCTTATATAATACCTGTATTTTCATGATAAGGTCACCATGATGACCCTTCGTGATGAAGGAAGGCATGTAAAGCACATAGCACAGCCAGGCCCTTGGTAAGCACTCAATAAAAACAACTATCAGTATTCTCCATGTTCCTAACACTCTGCAATCGCTATGCCTTTTGCTCATATCAAGGATTAGCACTTCAACATATAGCAGACCTCTCAGCCCTGACAACACACCTCTAAATAATAGGAACAAAAGCAATAATGAGAAATCAGTGCTTTACTAAAGATTTTGTGTTGTTACAGGGAAAAGCATTCCTCTCTCACACTGCGTGGATGCGTGGAAAATCTCCTCTGTTTTCCCAGGAAATGCATCTCTTGCCTATAGCTGATATACCCTACCTCTGCTCCCCTGTGGTGGCACAAGAGACCAGCAGTTACCTGAACTCCAAGCAGTATTAGTTATCAATATGCCAAGGGATGAGGGAGTGGCTCATCCTGCCTCTAGACCTTATCAAAAATAATGTAAATATTACCCTCAAAATGTCAGTAGCAAGAATCAAATTTTACAAATAGAATAATATCTTAAACATTTGGAAAAACTTGCAATGCAGGACCAATTCAAATGTCACCTCTCCTATAAAATTGTTCTGAACTAAGCAGAGCCAGGCATAAGAAGAAGAGCTAGTTAGAAGTGAGGAATCCTGGTTCTGCTGGTAACTAGCTATATGACCTTAGGAAGATCCTTGTATTCTTCAGTTTTGTCATCTGGAGGAAATATTGGCTAAATTATTCCTAAGATACTTTCTAACTCAAAAATCACATCATGATCTTCCTGCAAATACAATAAGCAAATATTAAAGCAAATCTTTCTTTCATCTCATTTTTCAAGGTATCTTTCAAATCCATTTGTTTAAAGTAAGCTATGCCTTAATTATGCTATCTAAACTCAGGGAAGCCTGTATCCACACAATACAGGACTGTGGCACAGGCTTAGACGTGTAATAAAGAAAAGTAAAGATACATTGCGTATGGTTTCATTTACCTAAATTTAATGCCAAGGAAGCGAATTCCATCTATATATACAGAGCTAACTCCTCTGTAGAAATATTTTCCATACCAATGTTGTCTCTCAGTGGAATCTGAAGGTGTGCCCTGCAACACCTGAATGTCACATTGAAGGGAATATAATGATATTTTCTTTCACATGTCTAGCTCAAAGAAATGTTAAAAAATGTTGGTGGAACGAAGTTCAAATGAAATTACCACTAGTCCATCTTTTAAAAATGAGAAGTGACTAGGCTTCTCCTTCCTTTGTGAAGTCTTCTTCTGACTGATGCACTGTAAGGATGATGGGAGAATTCAAACTAAAGCCAGTGGAAAAGAGACTGGTGATTAATCCTTTGAAGGGATTCTCTGAATTCCAAGTTGCTTTTAATGTTATTTGCTAATTTTGGAAGAATCAATCCCTAATCCATTGAATTCCAAATAGCCAGAAGACAGGAAGAGAAATCATTGGACCTCTACTAAAATTACTTCCTTTTAAATAAAAATCCATTTACCCATAATGTCATTGATTCTTCTTGTGGCTAACATAAATATAGAATAATAAATTACTATTTTATATAAAATTATTAACCCAGGCAATTGCTTCCAGAATAATTCTATTACAGTGAGAGCTTTATGACTGATTTTTAAGTATCATCAATAATGATTCATGATTTATGTAAGAAGTCTGCAGGCCTTTTTACTTTCTGTTTATAGAATAAGCATCAAGACCAAAGAATCTGATTTCTCCATGGTTAGTGCAGTACTGGCTTCAGGCTTCCCTATACTTTGAACTGCGTAGTGCTGGATATTTCCCCAAACAAGAACTTACTATTTTTTTTAAAATTTTATGTTACAGACTATCACTTTTTATTATCAAAGTTCAATGAAGTCTCCCAGGAACCCACCCTTTCTCTTTCTGCTTATGAACAAGATGTCCTTATGTGCAAGGTTTTGGGGGGGAAAACCCAGTCCACTAATAATTTTAAACAGATCTCCCTAGGTTTATCAATTCTCCCTTTAATGATGTTTTCACCAGTTACTTTAATAAGATACCTTGGAATATCGTCTTTTTGTTACCAGAGATGTGGTTTGGGGAAGGGTGGGTTCTAACAGACCCAATACTTGCCCCCAAGACCAAATGGAAAAAGTGATGGTGAAGTAGGAAAGAAATTCATTCTTAGTGTGTCCGCACTGGGAAGACAGATCTAAAGTGTTTCATGGTATCAACAGTAGTTTTGGGGTAAAATATGGAAAAAACTGAGGGAGTTTTCCTAGCCAGCAATCTTGCTCAGACAGGTCATCATTTGGTGGATCACTATCCTAAGACTGGTCATGTATCCCTGTCAGACCAAGGAACTCTGTGTTGGTAGGGGAACAGTTTCAACTCTTGTCACAAGATATTTATTGTTTAGACCCTCTAGCCAAAAAGGAAAGAGGGAATTAGTTCTGTCAATGATGGAGCCTCCCTTCAGGTTTAGGGCTATGAATTGGGGACTTCAAAGGGCTACTCAAGGGGTCTAGAATAGGACATTATAAAATCTCACAAGTGGCAATCTGTTCATTATGATGTTCTTACAAATCTCAAAAGTATCTTAGTTACTCTTTCTTATTTTGATGGTTTCCAACTTGAAGATGAAGGATTACCCATCCAGAGAACACTTTTTCAGTGATTAACATGCACAGTTAAATAAGAATCTGATCAGAAGTTTAAGGTAGCGAAAAGAGAGAGAGATGCCATATGAAGGCACAAATGTCAAAATGTTTATCCTCTTTTTAGTTATTTATCAGACATCTGCCGGCCCAAGTGAAGAGTCAGTGCTTTTAACAAAAGAGACTTTAAGTCCCTGTTATACTTTCCTTATACCTTGTTCATCATTCATTTCAGACAAAACTACTCAAAATATCATGAAGCATAACTCTCTAAATAAGATTTCACAATTAATTAGCTTTATACATCAAACATATCAAAACTATCAGATTTTTGGTTAAAAACACATACTTGCAGAACAACTAAACATCCCTGGATTCTACCTATGAAATTATTCTAATAAAACTATAACAACTGAAGGCAAATTTTATGGTATTTATTTTTATTAATGCTATGATCAAAGTAAGTACTCCAGAGTATTTTTTTAATTAATTTCATTACTAAGGGCAAAGCATATCCATATATGTCTTATTGTTTTAAAGACTGGATGTTTCTGTACTTTTTAATTAGAGAATTATCTCTAAGCAAATGGTTGGATCTTATGGAATGGCTACAATGAGACAGTTGTGCAATAAGCTATTTTAGATTGGGGAGATTAGAGAGAAATGTTAGGAGTCATAGTTTTCTTTTTGTATTTTCTTTTACTCTATCTTAATTGAGTTATGTATTCAATGARAATAATGTTTCTTGGGACATCCACTTTTTTCTCCTCAGAAAAATGCAGTGTCACACCAACCCAAGGTAGAATAAAACATAAGATTATTGTCTGGTCAACATGAAGTAGATTAAGATACAATGTGGGCCCCACAAAGACAGTGCTCAGGAGGACTTTACTCAGTGCAGATTAAATTGGTAAGGAGGACACATGAAAGACCTCAAAGTACTCATCAAACAAAGGAAATATGTTTTTAGTGGAACTGGAAGAACAGGATATTTTTGTTCTTTTGTTCAGTGGATATTTATGATCTGCTATTACTTATTATGATCAAGTATTATTTTATGAACTGAGTATGAAGAACAAAACTGACATGTTCCCTGTCCTTAAGAAAGATATATTCCAATAAAAGATATAGTCCCAATTTAAAAATGATAATATTCAAATACAACTTCTGGTGAATGTAAAGGAATCACAAACTGGGTAAAGTGACAGAAAAATTTAGAAGGTAGCCTCCTTAGATATCATGATTTTTCTGCCTTTGTAGGGCAGACCTTCTACTTGAGAACTGTAGAATGAGAGAAGACCAGTTTTACAAAGAACAGGGAGGGTGAATGCTCAAAAATAGAGATCCACAAACATTCTGTAATGTGACAAAGAGTATTTTCATGTTTTACAGGCCATTTGCTTCCCGCTGCAACTAATCAATTCTGGCATCAGAGTATGAATGAACCTAAACCAATGGCCATGGCTATGTTCCAATAAAACTTTATTGAAAAAAAAAAAAAACAAGGCAGTGGGTCAGATTTGATCTAGGAGATACACCTTTTGAGTTCCTGCTCTAGCTGGATGTGTTACCTGGGCAAATGTTGTGACACGAGGCAAGGATTGCTGTGTCGAGAAAGTGATAGAAGGCTGGTATGGATAAAATCAAGTAAGTGGGAATAGAGGGGCATGAAACGAGCTTGAGAGACAGCAGGAGCCAGATCATGCACTGCGTTAAGCTCATGGTAAGAAACATTGGATTTTACTAGATTTTGTTTAAGTCTCTTAAAATTTTAAGTAAGGTAGTAATACTCTTTAGGTATGGAAACTCATTTTAATTTCTATGCACAGAACAGACTGGAAGACTACTGAAGCAGTTCTGGAAATATAGTCATGACCTGGATTCACATGGTGGCAATGAAAAGGAGTAGAAGAGAAAATATTTGAGACACACTTAATGATGAGGGTCCTAACTGGAGGACTGAATGTAGAGGAGGTAACAATGAAAGAGAAGGAAAAAAAAATAATTTTGATGTTTAAGGTCTGGCTGAGGCAATTTTATTACTCATAGGAAATTAAGTGGGGCTAAATTATAAATTCTAAAGAGGAATACCAAAGAAACAAAAGCCTAAAAGTTAAGCTGAATCTACTTTAGGGAATATCTTAAGTAAATTGTATTTGTTTTATTGAAAAAGAGAAAAATAATGAAAAGCTTTGGAGAGGAAAATAATATAGCCAGAGTTGTACAATAAACTATTTTAGGTTAGGTAGATTAGAGAGAAATGCTAGGAGTCATAGGAAGTTAAAGAATTATTAATATCATAAAATAGAGATCACAAACCTGATTCAGAAAATGTATGAAACAATTTCTACTAGAAATTGTATGAAACGTATTCAATAATTTTGGTTGAAGCTATTTAAGATAAATAAACAAAATAAAATTTTAAAAGGTAAAACACAAGAGGAATAAAAGCTAGTTTTAAAGGGAAATGTGGATAATTAGATTAGCAAGTTAGTACAACTGAGCCCCCAAACTAACTTCTGAGTCAGTTCTCTGACAGAGAAGAAAAATAAAGTAAAATAACAAGATAAAGTGAAGGTGGAGGAGGTGGAAATGGATTAAGTAACTCCCATCTGATATATGGAAATATAGCTCTTTTCCAGGGGAGAAACATTAAATGATAAAAGAAATACATATCATAATCTTTTATTAA